AGGCAGAGCTGGAGCATTGCTATGACAAAATGCTTCTTCATGGAAAGGGAGACATAAGCCTCATCCAGAGAATATATTTAACCTTTGAAATTCAAACTCCACTCCAGCTAGTGATTATCATCTGTCCTACTGATATTCATATGGTAGGATCTAGCAGAACAAGACCTGGCTAGACTTTTTAATTGGTGTTACAGTGCAGCCATTTTCCTAGAACAGCCAGTCCAGCAGAACAGTTTCACTTCCAACCCTCCAGCAATGTCAGGTGAGCAGACCTGAACAATCCCACATATTTTCTTAACATTTCCCTTACGAATTAGATGAAATCACCAACCATTAAAGTTGCCACTTGCAAACTCATAAGTGAAAATTCAGCAGTACAATGTGCAGTGATGGTAGCCAAAAGAGGACTGAGTAGGTATTGTTTGCCATAGATTGTTTCGTGGAATTTTGCAAACTCTTTAAATTTTAATGAAACTCGTAAATCTAATCCAGGTACACATTGATGTACTGGCATTTCAGCTGACCCTAAAAAACTCCAATTGTTCTTTTCTCCCCTCTTTTCAAAAGAAGAAGATAATTACTAAAAGTACAAGGATTGTGAATTGCAATTTTAATGAAAGTTTTCCTACTTGCCATAGAGACAGTATTATTAAATACCCTCTTTATTAGGATGCGTACTTTGCAGGCTTTAGATTACCATAAATTGAAATTTTATAGATCGCAAAGCTAAATAGATATTTTGGAAAAAAATGGGATGATAAGCATTATCTTAATTTACTGTTTTGCAAACAGCATTATTCATGAATTGCCAACAGGTATTTCAAACTGAAATAGCACATGTTTCCCACGATGTGGGAAACATCGACACCCATGGGGACTGGTGCACTTCATTGCACATAAAAACAGACAATTAACAAAGGCCATAAAGACAATTGGGTCCTCTGCACTCCAGTTCAACTACTTACCCAATCTCCAGGGCTTCAGTCTGTATTCATAATTAACACTGTAACTAGTGTAACAATGGCAGTTTCAATCAAATTTAACAGCTATGTTCCAGCTACAATAGAGTGATTAATTTCAGTGGTTAAGAAACTGAAGTAGTTAAGACTCTGAAGGAGGGCAACTATTTACTTTGGCAAATTTAAAGCAAGTGTCTGGGCTAAGTTCTTCTTGTCTAGTCATGAACGAGGCCTTTGGTGTTCCTTGACAAGTATGGGCTGACGTGTTTCCTTCACAATAATAAGTGCACATTAGGTAGCATTTTTAGTGGAAGAATCAGTGAAATTCTTCTCCTGTTGGGAGAGGCTAGACTTGGTCAATAATAAAGTTAGATGCTTTCTTAATCCAGAATACTTCTTTTTTATCAAAGATTTTTTAAATGTTTTGTTATTAATACTATACAAATTCAAATTAAAACTAAACAGCCCTTCTCTAGTTTAAAATACTTATTGGCAAATTAGGAATAATGTTGTTTGGAAAACAGTAAATTGATAAAATGTTTTGCCATGGTTTAGAAACGGTACTTTCCAATTTAGTGCTCCCACTGAGACTCTCCAAACCCCGCTGCTGCTCGCTTGCTCTCCATCCTCTTTCCCCTCCCCCTGTGGCCAGCTGGAGGGCAGAATTAGAGGCACAAAAGATAAAGATCATGGATTGAGATGAGAACAATTTACTGGAAACAGCAATGAGATAAGAAAACAAACAGCAACAGCAGCAATATTAATAACGAAGGTGTACAAAAGAGAGAGGGATTCACGTGCAAAATGCTCACTGAAGAGCCCAACCTGACGTGCCTGCAGTCACACCACCATGACCACTCCCTCTGGTTCTGAATCGCTGCCACCCAACCGCTCCCTCTGGCTCGGAACCAGGATGTGGTGGTGCATTCCCCCTTTAATGTTTACTTGACTGGTAGGAACCCCTTCTCTTCAGAAGAGACTCCCCTCCCCCACCCCCATCAACGACATGAAGTGGTGTAGAATAACCTCTGGATTCTGGCCATGCCCCTTCCAGGCTACTGCAAAAATTCCCCCTGTCCTGGCTGGAACCAGGACATGTTTATAATCACATGCTTTTGCCATAATATTTGTTCTGTGCTGCCATATACCCCAGGTGTCAGAGTTAAAAACCTCCCTTAATCCTGCACAAGTCGGGGCTGGAGTTCTCCAAATGTGCCACCAACATGGTGGGTCACTGCTGGTGTCGCTGTGGACCTCACCTCTAAAATGCCTACCACAAGGATAGGGGTGAAGAGAACACATTAGCCCGTTCTTGCCAAGGAACACCAAAAACCTCGTTCGTGATCAGACAAGAAGCACTTAGCTCAGACATTTGCTTAATTTCAGCACTGATCTAAGCCTCCTATGGAATTATTAAAATATGACATCCCAGAAAAGAGAGTGAAGACTTCAGAAAAGGCATTCATGAGGCATTTGGAAGAAAACAACTGAGTGTTTACTTGGTGGGGCCAACAAATCCTCTGCTTTTAAAATGTGTCCTCATAAGCTTTTCTGTCAGGGCAGGTATTGGGGATTTTGCTGTTTCCTTGTTCACACTGTTGTGTTGGGCAGGACTTGTTTCTGTCTGGTATTTTTCTCAGGTAGGCAGCTGATCTTTTTACCAGGACTGTGATATGAGTGGCTTTTAGTATTGTTTGTATTGAGATAAATCAGTAAAATACGTTTGTATGTTACATAACACCTCACTTGTGAACTTTGGTAAATCAACACCATTTACTTCAGTTGTGTTTTCTGTTTCCGTTTCTTAATCACATCCGAGCACAGGACATTTCTGCAGCACAGCTCTCTCCCCACATGACTGCTGCAGCCCACAGCAGTGCACGCACGCTCCTTCCATCATGCTCCTTCTGGCTCCAGCCAAAACCCATTCCTGCCCTTCCATGAGGAACAATCTTTAACATAACAGAGCTGTCCAGACACTGAGGCTGTCCTGCTATTGCAGCATGAGAATGCTCTGTGTAAGCAAGTGAGATGAACATGCCAAAAGTGATGCAAGTGTAGTCACTTTTTTTTCCCATGGTAGGTAACGCTGACCTCTGAAATGGCAAACAGGGGGAAACACAGTTCACAGAACTTATTTTTCTAGGCTGACCATACTGCAGCTCTTCCAGCATTCCAGGTCAAATAGTGCATATTTCCTCACTCCTCTTGCCCCAGAGCTAGTAAATAATTCCAACTAGGGGGGAAGGAAGCATGTTCTGGATTTGTCTCCATTATCTGCAGGGATGTGAACACAGTATTTTCCACAGAGATGCTCTATTAACTAGCCCCTGACATTAGAGGACTCATTATGTTACAGAGCCTAGTGACTTTTATCTCCTCTATTTATATATTTAAATTTATTTCTTTTTTACTTCATCTTACTTGTTTACTGTGACAGATCATAATGAATTGCAATATTACAAAGATTTGTTATTCATATATACATTACCCAAAAAAGTACAAAATTACTTTATTTCTCCAAAAGTTCTCATTCTGCCTCAGGGTCACCGTGAGCAGGTAATATCTTTGGCACCATGTGAGAGAACTCTCTCCCTGCTGTGGGGCCAGGGCAGATGCCCATCTCCTTGGCCCTGCTGCCACAGGTGGGCCCAGCACGTGGACAACACATGACCATCACGTGACAAGTGTGTTCCTGGGTGATTTTTGCCCTATTCTCTTTCTCATTACCACTTTCCATTCTTTTGGTGCTTCCCAGTAATACACAATGGAAACAGCTCCCCACTCCGAGGATCTTACTGGGCCTCAACCTCCATGAGTAACATCCAGCCTGATCCTTAAGGATCCTAGAACAATCCACAGATGCTCAAGGTGCCTAAGAGCTGTAAACTGGTTTGATAGTTCTTATTCTGCCTGGAGGTCACCATGAGCAGGGAGCAATTTTGGTACCATGAAAGGGAACCATCTCCCTGGTGCAGGACCACCACAGACACCTGTCCACTTGGCACTGCTGCAGCAGGTGGCCTGAGAGAGGGAACTGGGCAAAAATCACCCACTGCTAAGGAAAGCAGTGGATACAGCGTATGCTGAAGTTACTTCCCTTTTTTATTTTCAAAACTGAGAATCAAAATCTACTGCTTGTAATTTCAACTCCAGTGCAGAAACAAAACAGGGAAAAGGGATTTAATTGGAGCCCACGTTAGATAATTGGGAATGTTATAAGGGCAGCAGTTCCGTAGTATCTGCCTATCATAAGAAATTGAAGAAATCACATGAGAGGGGTGCCTGAATGAATGAAAACTCCTCTTGAAACAGTCCCTGAGAAAAACTGTGAGGGAGAGCAACTATATTTATTTTGGCAAACCTGAGATCAGAATTTGTTTTTCTTTGAGTGTTTTATTCCCCTCACAGACCCTGATGCTGGAAAATAATAGAAATGAAGAAAGGAGATAGCAATTACTGTAAGTTTTGTTCGCTGCAATCTGGAAATTATAAAGTACTGCAGGTTGCTCCAGGCCATAAATCCTAACCCAAAGCCACGTGCAAAGCCTTGGAAAATTAAAATGCTGCAATTGGGTTTAACCAGCCAAAAAATCCCAGCTGCTGAGTCACTCTGACTACACAGTATATATTCTTCAGCTGTTAAAGGATGTATTGCAGCACCCTGAGGAATAACCAACTATTAAAGCACATGGGTAAACAGGTTTTGCCAACACATCAAACAATCTTTAAAATTATTCACAGAATCATTTAGATTGTCAGAGACCCTTTACATTGTCAAGTCCAACTCCTAACCTGACACTGTAAAAACCCCTAAATCATGTCCCTAAGTACCATGTCTATTCAAAATAAAAGATCGCAGATTGAAAAACACTTTTTTTTTTTTAAGAAAAGTTATTTGTATGGTTGACATGAGTCCACTCCAAAAGAAGCTATTTTAGCTCCCCCCGCAAGACTTCTGAAATTATCCTAATGGATGCAAAGAACAGTTAAACTTTGTTGAGTCAGCATTTGAAAAATACTCAGCAAAACAATGGTATCTTTTATATCAGTTTATCTTGATGTGGAAAGCTTGTAACTATTACAATTATTGTCTGAAATACAATATTGAATCTCTGAGAAATGTGTGAAGTACAGTAATACCAGAAATGTGGCCTAAAGCAAGGAAAAAACCCACAAACCCACATATCCACCCCCCTCTCTTTAAATTTAATACAAATGCTTTTATTTGGAATCTCAGTTGTCAGTAAGAATTGACAGTCACCTTTAACTTCAGATGACTTCATAACTGTATCTGGCTGGTGAAGAAAAGGGCAAGCACAAGCATCAGCTTGCTGTTTAATCACTATCACACTGATATCGCCTTGGTCCATGGCAGCTGGCATGGGCCAGGGTTTGGGGGGACAGCGAGAGCAGGGTGCCCACCTCAGCTGTGGTGTGGGTGAGACTAATTCAGATCTGGCTCCTTCCAAATCTCATGACACCCCAAGCTGCTCAGCACATTCAGCCCCTAGGACTGCCCTGTGAACCTTCTGTGAGCATGCACTGCTCATCCCCCTGGGCGCGTGGATCAAGGTCTACACTGGATGCAACAACCAGGCTGCAACACACAGTCCCTGCTCCATCAGCACAGGCACAGCCAATGTTAATCCTCTGCACAGCTTTACATGTCTTCCCATAAAAAAAAATAAATTTAAAATCTCTGTAAGTAGCACTAATTAGAGACTTGTGCATTTACAAGGGCATAGTAGTGTCCTTCCTTTGCTAGTAACTGGCTGTGGGTGCCCTGCTCAACCACCCTGCCGTTCTGGATCACCACAATGATGTCTGCTGTCTGCACGGTTGACAGGCGATGAGCAATGACGATGCAGGTTCGACCTTGTCGGGCATTATCCAAAGCTTTCTGGACAATCTGCATACAGATATCATGAGAATGCTGTTAGCATGTGGAAAGTCTTAACTTGTCATGGGAACTACATTTGATTCTCACTCTGTTATCACTTGAATATATCTCTCACAGATACACAAGTCAGCACATACAGGAGACCCTAACTCAACAGGGTGTCTCACTAGGGCCAGTGAGCCTGATCCAACAAGCATGAGACAGAGAAGTGGGTTCTCGGTCATCTAGCATTACTTAGAACACAAATTCAATATTTACCATCAAATACAGCTAATAGGAAGACAACTGAGGAGAATCAGCTCCACATGGTGTTTTTTCTACTTTAGTAGATGTGCACAACTTCCTAGTGCAGCTCTCAACTTTCAGGTGGAAAAGCTACCATGACACACCTGCCCCGTTGTTTCACAGTTGAGCATTTGTAACACGTTTGCATTAACTTCATTCTACAGAAATCAGCTAGCCATGTGCACAGACAAATATTTTACAAAATAATCATTACTCACCTTTTCACTTTCTGTGTCAAGAGCAGAGGTAGCTTCATCCAGAAGTAGAACGGCAGGATTACGAACCAGAGCACGAGCAATTGCTATTCTTTGTTTCTGACCTCCAGAAAGCTGTGTTCCTTTATCACCCACCCGGGTATTATATTTCTGGATGTTGAAAAATAGAAAAGATCACCTGTGAATACTCTTACAGAAGGAAGATTAGAAAAGTAAAACTTTATGCTTGGCTATAAGTTATTAGTTATTTCCATCTTGAAAGAAAGGGTTAGTGCAAGTGGTTTTAATAAAGCTAGGACTTTATAAACATCTCTAGTATGAGCAGTTATATATACAGCCACACCCATTTATACACAGTCTGAAAATTTATTCCTCCAAAAAGTGGCATATATCTTGAATGGTACTAGCAGTGATACAGTACTGAGGTGTCCACAGAGCATATTGTAATAAGAGTAACTGGAGATTTAATGCTTACTATATACATGAAGAACTTGATCTTGCATTGCTTGTGAATAAAGAATCCTAAACATCATTAGTCACAATGACGACAAAATATTTTTCAGCATGATTACATCATTTTCAGATACACAGAGCTACAGTGAAAACAAACTATCAAAGCATTTTTCCTTGTTAGAGCCAAATTCTTGGCAGGCATGAAGGTCAAATGTCATGTCATTCACTTCTGATTTATTGCCCCTTTGAATTTATCAAGAAATGCTCCTGTGCATGTCCCTTCAATTAGAAATAGACCACTTCAGTTTACTAAATTATTTTAGACAAATAAGATTTCTTTCTCAGAGTAACTTGAGAAGTTTCTGCTGTCAAAGGAAAAATATATAAAAAAAATTATGGTGTCCCCCCCAAATATTCTGCTTTGTCTACCACTACATTCTGGAAATATAGGTTTTTTTTTTTTTTTTTTGAACAAACTAAAAAGGGTTTTAAGCTTGAAAGATACTGACATTTTAAAACATAAATTCTATACTTTTTCTTATTAAGGGAAACAAAAGTGTGCATTGTTAATTTATCTGTGTAAGTGGGCACTACATATATTTCTCCATATCATTCCAAAAATCTGGTTATCACACTGTGAAGAGAAGATCACTGTCTCTTACCTCTGGCAGTTTTTCAATGAAGGTATGAATATTTGCTGCCTTAGCTGCTTCTTCAATTTCCTCCTGACTAACCACCCTACTGTTGTCTCCATAACTAATGTTTTCGGCAATGCTGCAGTCAAACAAAACGGGCTCCTGTGACACCAGACCCAGTCTGGACCTCAGCCATTGTAAATGCAGTGATCTGGTATCAAATCCATCTGCTAGCTAGAAAAAGCAACAGAAACATTATGCCAAGCTGGCTACAGAGCTCATCCACAGATACACACTGTAAACAGGAAACATGAATGGTAAGAGGAAGCCCATTACATGTTAAATTCCCAGATGAAATCAAGTCAGTTTTTTGCATGCAAAGAGGAAAAGAACCAGCAGAATAATGAAATATTTCCTTTCATTAGTTTTTAATTTTGTGTGGTTTTTCTTCCATTTCCCAGCAGACGGAAACAACATGCAGATCACAGGCTGTTATTGCAGTCCTTCCAGCCCTACTGACCACCAGGAAGCTCACAGGAAAGCCTGCCCCTTAAGAAGCTGAATACAACAATAATATTCTCAGCTGAAGGCCTTTACCTTAATCTTACAACCTCCAAGGAGGCTTCTTTAGACTTTCTATGCCCATTAACAGGGATTGCATCAAAATGCCCATTGTCACTTTCTGATGGTGACATAGTAACATCTATATGAGATGACATTTGTGTTATCTGAAGCATGTATCTATGCCCCTAATTTGTGAATTCCTATCAGAAAGAAAATTCACACACTGACAAGCAAGAGACATAAATGTTATGCCTCTGTGTCACCAGGGTGTGAGCAGCTTTGGGGAGGTAATGCAGTCTACCATGGTAATGGTAATACTGTATTACCATGGGGAGGTAATACAGTCTCAGATCTGTGCCCTGAGCCTGCACACTGTGCCAACATGGGTGCTGGAGCTGCTACATGTGGGCAAATGCACAAGGCGGGCAATGACAGGGGTTCTGGGTTTGTCTACAGCTGCACTGGAGCCACAGACTCAGTAATGTACACCTCTAAAAAAGGCATCCTAACAGAGATACTGCCAGGATTGTTGAATGCCTAGGAAACCTTGGAAGATAAAAGAGTCCTGTAGATTTAATTGCTATTAATAGCCACACAAGTCTATTTTTACCACTTGTCCTTCCACAGGGTCATAAAATCTCTCCAAGAGCTGAATGGATGTGCTTTTTCCACAGCCGCTGCTTCCTACTAATGCAAGAGTCTGTCCTTTGTTAACCTTCACACTGAGTCCTTGCAAAACTTGAACTTCTGGCCTTGTTGGATATACAAAGTGGATGTTTCTGAATTCAATGTTGCCTTCAAAATGGCTCTGAAAAGCAGGAGAGAGTTCACATGCTCATATTAGTGTTTACTAGCTTTAACTATAACACTTGGTAAGACTTGATTATTAAAGTGAGAGAATTGAGAAAGTTTGGGAGGGTTTTTTCAAAAGAGCTTTTGAAGTTCTTTTAAAATTGCGTATTGAACTGAACATAGTACTAGTTATACGATGATCTGCAGATGTAAGTCACTAGATCCTTATGAAGAAAGAGTTTTCTGCTTGTCTTGTACCTATTTTTCATTTCACCTTTGAAAAGAATATCGATAGATAAATAAACAACATTTGTATTTTTCATTTCTAATACATTTAGTTGAGGCTCTTCCATTTGTTATATAAACTATATCATTTGCTTTTCTGATATCACACTGCAGAGGTAGCACAATTTGAGTGAATGTAACACAAGGTCAAAATCAGAGATTAAGACAGCAGAGCTAAATTCTTTGGTAGGTATTTCATGGGCATGGAGGACAAGTTGTGCTTTAAAAAGATGTGATAGTTGTTAACTATCCATTCTAGCCAGGCTGATATTTAAGGACAAGTGAAAGAAAGGGGGCACAAGCTAAGGCTATTGTTTCTCCTATTCTTTGAGGTATGAGCCAGTCCTATGTACATACTTGCAGCATCACTGGTACAGTGCTCTCACAGCAAGCGATGACCTAATTTAACAGGCTCAAAGCTTTGCTTTGCTGACGTCACAGGCATCACTGCTATTCGAGTCTGGTCTATACTAGAAATGCTTTCACTTAAGTTTTATTTTATTGGAGACCTTCTGCCAAGTCTTTCAATGTTTTTGTCAGAGAACCTTGTTTCAAGAAGGTATGTGAGTGTGCTGAGAATTTTAAAGGCTGAAAATCCTGTATATAAGCTTAAAGTTATAGAAACTGGATTATGGCTTCCTAAGTAGAGGCTACCATCTAAAACCTACCTGGGAAGTTAATTTTAAACTTAGATGAACCTGGATGTGCGAATATAAATCTTCCAGAACATGTAAATTGAAAGCATTTCATGCAGAAATTTGACAAGTGCTGAGGTCAGCCTCCCTAATGACAATTTTGGTTTGAAGGTGAGGCTTTTTGGGGATTTTTTGAGTATGCTTTGGTTTTTTTACTTGTCATTATTGTTGGTTTTTCCTTGTTGTGTCATTCCCTACACAACTTTATAGCAAAACAAATTATTCATTAAGTTCACTTTGACTTCACAAGAGCACATTTTTACTTGTAAGAGTTTTCACCATTTGAATAGGATGGATTCTGGCAAAACTCTTCTGTCTCTAAAGGAACTAGTCTCTCATTTACAAAGTAGAATAATGCATTTGTATTTTATTTCTCCTATAAACTCTTACAAAGACAACACAACTTTTATTGGAATTGACATTTATCAGTGTTTTCCCGAAACCATTTAAGATGTCGGTTGGTAGAATGAAAAGTATTTTTTTTGCTTATTTAGAGAAAAACTACCTTATAGGCTACACACTTTTTTACTGAAGCTCAGAAATAATGAGTAAATACCACTATCTTATATAACATCTGTCTTTTCATAGAATCACAGAACAGATTGGGTTGGAAGGGACCTTAAAAATCACCTACTTCCAATCCCCCTGCCATGGACATGGACACCTTTCACATGAACAGCTTGCTCAGCCTGGCCTTGAACATCTCCAGAGACAGGGCATCTACAATTTCTCTGGGCAACCTGTTCCAGTGCCTCACCATCCTCACAGCAAGAATTTTTTCCTAGTATCTAATTTAAATCTCCTCTCTCTCATTTTGAAGCCATTATCCCTTGTCCTTTCATTCTTGTAAAAAATCTCTTCCCATCTTTCTTGTAGGCTCCTTTCAGGTACTAGAAGGCCACTATTAGGTCACCCTAACTTTGTCACCCTTTGTGACACCCTAAAAACTATGAAGCTATGAATACAGTTGTAGAAAATAAAACATTAATTTAGTTTGTTACAACATCTTTTCTGAAAAAAAGACTCCCCCAAAACACCTCCCCCACCAAATCCAAAAAAATCCCCAAATCCCCCAAAACCCCAAGCCAAAATACCCCCAGTGCTTACCAATTTTTCACCTTCTTCACTGTAACTGTCAATTACAGGTTTTCTGTCCAAAAGTTGAAAGATTTTTTTGGCTGACATTTTAGCTTTGCCATAGTCTGGTGCCAGAGAAGCAGATTGACCAACATTCATAGCTGCAAATAGGACAGAAGAAAAGACTCTAAAAGGCAAAAGAAAAAGCGCAATTAATTTCAGGGAGAACAATGTATTCATTTCCTCACGTGTAAAACAAATGTTCAGGATAAAGTTTTTAGCATCTTTAGGTTATGACATTTCTGGAGTTCCTCACCCCCCAGAATGTCATCCAGTATTAGGTAGTTCTATTTGTTCCCACAGCTACTTTATAGATGAACAGTGGTATCACGTCACTTCTCTATGTAATGCCCTCTGCCTCAAAGGAACATCGAAGGCCAAAGGCTTCACCAGAGTAGGTATGCTGAGCTTGCTGCTCACTCTTGCTGTTTCACTGCCCAAATATTCACCTTTCCCCAAAACAGCCTTTATGCACAAAGAACACTCTCAACCAGACTGAATTTCTGAATCTCTGTGCCCTCTTACCTCTGTAATTTGATAAAATAATTTGCATGCATTGAAATCACTATCCCATGTACTGATTTTGGATTTTTTACATTTTATAAAGTATACTCACATAAATACATTTTCAAAGTTGGTCAGACAATTAGCAATGAGCCATGCTCCAAATCTGAAGACTGCAGCATTAATAAAGTACTCTGCGCTTTGAGCTACTCCATAGCTAAATCCATAGAAAGGGGCTTTTTTCAGCGAATCTCTGATAAAGAAAGACACTTTCCATAAATAACTCATAAAAGAGAAACAGCAGACACTGGGGGATACCCAGACTTCTGGATTAAAGTTTTCAAGCAATACAGCTCACCCCCTGAAAACACAACAAATCAGTCCATAACACATATGCGTGTTCACACGCGTATGTGTTCAAACATTTTAGCTTTGTGTTCAGACACAACAACCTCTGCCAGACCCTAAGTGCCCCCCTCTTCATGACACAGAACTGCCCTTAGGACAGAAAGCAATGAGATCCTTGATCCTCAGCTTTGTTAATTTGAATCCCCTCCCTTTGTTTTCATAGCAGGGCAGGTCACTAAAACAGTTAAAATAAAATAAATTAATAACTACCCCATATGACCCATTTTATTAAGGAAACAAGCAGGCTCCAGCTCAGCCTAAGAGCCACCTGCAGACTTCTGCCAGGTCATCCCATCTGAGCAGAAAGACCTCTCATCCTGATTCAGAGAGGGGCCATATTGCTGGGTGTCCCCACAGGGATTCAGACTAAGCCACTATTTTTCAATCCATCCCTCTGGAGAAGATTCATTTTGTGTAACTAGTTGAACACGCATTGAATCAGAGTCTGGAGCACTCTCTGTCCTCATTGTTTAGGACGCTCTCTGAGGAAGAGGAAATCTTTCTAGTCTGAGCTGTAAATCAGAGACCTGTGACAGTTCAGCCTAGCATCCTGGCCAAATCTGGGCTATTACCAGTTCACCAGACATTGAATTTTAACACCATTTTGGCTCAGAACAGATTGAAATACATTTTTTTCAATACCTTTCTTTACATTAGTTATTTGGAGGAGTAAAGAAACAAGTGGATTTTGGGCTATTTTGTTTAAGCAAAATGGAGCTAGAAAAATCTTACATCCCTGGTGATTCAATTAATTTCAGTGAAGATAAGTCAGTGGGATGTAGCAGGTCGAACTAGGGAAACATATGAAGTTCATTTCAAGGTTTCAAAGTCATATGAGGGGAATAAAACTGATTTATATTATAAAGTGTGTGGTGGAAATGTCAGTTCCTGACTTAAGTAGTATCAATGTATCCATTTCAATATACTGAAATGGAGTGACCACATGTCCTATATTGTAGGCATACACATGCAAACACAATATTCTGTAACATATATTCAGTGTAAAGTGTACTAAGAAAGAATCATTAAACAAAAAAGAGCCTCACCTATATGGACCATTCAAATTAGTAACATATTTTTCATAAAATGCTTCTTCCCTGGTCAGTGAAGCTACAGTTCTTATGTTTTCAACTGATTCTGTTGAAATCTAAATGGGGAGATAAAACAAATATGACGTAATCCCTTACAACTGCAATTTACAACATATCTCCTAAACACTTGATCTCTTCTCTAGCATTTATTATTTTAGATCAGAATGTGCTTGCTTAGGGGAGGAGGTTGATATCTATTCCCAGGTGAAGGAAAGCCCCAAGCAACGAAATTATTCCCTCCATAGCTGTGAGACATTGTGGGGGCTGAAGCCAACAATATATTTGAGTTCAGAACCTTGGACCAGCATGCAGGAAGCATTCAGCAGCATCTGCTCTAACTCATGGGTTGTAGCCTTGATGAATTAAACCCAATTTAATAAAATAAGAACCAACATCAGTCATCTGGCTACAGCTTGCTCTTTTGCATGGACTACTTCTGTCTTCTGGAAAAGCTCTATCAGGTGAATGAAGACAGTACTCTGAAACTCTTGAGTGCATTAATGGTTTGCCTCTATGATAGAATAAAAAGGTACCAAATTTGCAATGCTTCTGGTTGCAGCAGAGCAGTGCAGAGCTACACTGCTCACCCCAGGCACAAGGCACACCAGTGCTGGGGATTCTACTGCTACAGCTGTCACTACTCAGAAATCCACTGTGGAGGCTTTAAAATGCATTTCTATTGCCTAATTTACAGATGGTTAGTGTTATCTATGTTTTGCTTTTCTTGAGGATGTACAAACATTCCCCTCGACCCCCACCCTCCCCTGTCCCCTCTTTCCCCTTCATTTATCTTGGACAATTGAGTCAGCTATAATATAACTACAGTATTGTCCTTAAAAGTGATCTCACACCATAACCCTGTAGTTAAAATTGAAGAACTTACTCTTCCGGCCTCTTCCAAAGCTTTTTGATCTTTTGCGGCATGACCAGACATGGACTTAGCACTCACAGCATTTGCAACAATAATGTAAGGAATGCAGGCCAGGATAAGCAAAGTTAGCTGCCAGCCATAAACAAATGCAATAGTGATGGCAGTCACAAGGGTAAAAACAGCCATAGTCATCAGTGCAAGTCGGCTTCCGGTCGCCTAAGAAAACCCCAGAAACCCCCCAAGTATTTGTCATTAGATTTTTCCTTTTGTTACTTATATCACCACTTCAAATTGGTTTTTAGCCAAGGCCAAAGGTTCCACTGGAAAACAAAACTGTGTGTGGTAGCGTGCATGGACATTATGTACCTACTTATGTAAGCATTCCTAGACATTCTTCATACCTGCCAGCATTCAGGCCTTCCAGGGATGTTAAAGTAGTCTAGAGAGTTGGTCATAACAGTAGTTTAATGAATTATGTATCTGAGACTTCATGTACTACGCAAGGCACGGGACACTGTGACCACTGTCACAGTAAGGCAAGTTGGTGGCTGGGTCTCCAGCATTAGGCAACGGGGGTTTGATTCTAACAACAGCCATCCATTGACCCACCACACTAATGGTGGTGGAAAATACTCATCCTCAAGTTCTCAACTGCTGCACTTTAGGTTGGGTTCTCAGAGAAAAAGAAATAAATCTGAATTTGGCCACTGCAGAAATGCTTTATCTCTGTGGGATAATGAGTAGGAAAGATTAACTACTACTGAAGAACTCCCATCTCCTCCCAGCCCATGTAACCTTTTCATCAAAAACTTTTTAAGATGAGAGATGATTAGCATCCAGCATCTGGGTGGGCTCTGATTTGCAGAAAAAAGTTCTGCAAACAGCCCTGTGGAAATAGTTCATCTTCCAAAATTTGGCATGACGGAAAAAAACCCAAAAATTCTTGGGTGGGAAGAAAAAGGAATCCTTGCTTTTGCCAAAGACTTTCCTGCCCTGAAAAGGCTTTTCTTGTTCAATAAAATGTAAAATAGTAATAACTAAACTAATGCCAGTGTGAATTGTTGCCATATGTTCTAGGAGTTGCACATAAAGATGGATTTGGAAACTTCAGCCAGTGCAGCATGAGGCATGGTACTGACTTACTGACACTCTGTAGCACTTCAGAGAAAACAACAGCTGTACATGCCCTTTGGTGCTTTCTGTAGTAGGGGACCATGTGCATCCCTCCTTTCAACTGCCCTGACAGGGTGATGTAGTTCAGTGCCATTGAAAAAACCAAACTTTTAAAAGATGAAAATTACTAAATTTTGTCAAAGGCTCTTTTCTCACTTCAAGCCCATAATGAAGGATGACAAGAGAGAAACAAAAGTCTCTGGAGACTGAAAAATGTAGGGATTAAAGGATTTTTTATGGTACAAATTTTAAGGGAAAAAAAAATAAAAAAAGACATCTTAAAATAAACTAGTAAACTTTACCCCTCAAGTCCTGCAGTGATTTCCACTATCCTGTCCCCACCCCCAAAAGAGAAGGGAATACACGGGGATGTCTGGCAGATTGTCAGGCTCTGCTGATGAGGTGAGCAGTTGGAGGAATTGTACAGAATTTGCCATATTCTCCTACCAGTGTCCAGCTCTCCCATATCAGTGCCTTTAATCATTCGCTTCCTTGACCACTGCCCTTCCCTGGTGTTCTTTATTCATGCCAGGGTATTTCTTACTGTTTGGTCTGGTTTTTGTGAAGCACATTTTGTGGGGATGGGAAAAAGAATTCTCTTCATTGAGGTCAGTAAGGGTTTGCATCGTCTGCAGGTGCAAACCTCTTTATGGCACTCAGGTGACACCCATCATAAAGTGTAAAAACCTGGGGTCCAATGACTGTGGCCCAAGCACATATGCAGATTTCACTTTGCATGGGGAAATGGTCTACAGTTATTACATACTTAGCTTAAAGACTGGTGGGGGGGGGACATGAAAGGTACATGAACATCTGCTGGATTTTTGATAGTTCTCATAAATTATCAGCTGGGAAATCCCTTCCAGTATGTTTGCAGCACACAGTGTAAATCCATCTGCCAGTCTGTAGGGTAGATTTACTACCCTGTGTTCCGAAATAATCCTGTGTCCCTTGCCAATAACAATTAATATTTCTAAGGAAAAAAATACCTTAAAAAAGAATCAACATACCCCTTTGACTTGGGAAGCATCTGTAGCAAGACGAGTTAGCAGAACACCAACAGCATTTTTCTGATCATCATACCATCCAATATCCTGTAAGAAAAGACACTTAGTTTTGTTTCAAAATTACATGAAAGTACAAGTCATGATGACTAACTGAATATTCTTTCTCTGTAGTCAGCATTTCCAAGTGAACTAAAAGAAAAAGCTTAAAAAGCACTACTCTTTTGAGAACATCTAATTGTTCACAATCGAAGTGTTATTGGCTGTGATGTTTTTTTCCAGTGTGCCCATTTAGAAACTTTTATTATAAATCCCTTTTACTCAGACATTCCTTGGGCCTGAAGACGTTAACTACTCTTCTTCTTATGAATTATCTATTCCATCAACTATAGAATCATAGAATATCCTGAGTTGGAAGGGACCCAAAAGGATTTGTACATACTGAAAGAAAATGAGACCCTTTTACCTCCAAAGGCTACAGCAGGTGGCTTTTTCCTCACCAATTTATTGTCTTCTAGTCCCTTTCAGATTTTTTTACGAACACACAGGTTCTTGTCCCCAGTGGGTGTGTGGAGTGCCAAGTTACATATTCACATGATTATTACAGAATGAGAATTCTGTGATTCTCAAATAACAAAGTCGCACAATTTAACAGGAAGGGTTTAACATAAATAACTTCATTCTTCTCATGGGTAATAGGGAAATTTGTTTTTTTTTCCATTAAAAATTAACAGGTTTTTTTATTTGCTATAGATTGCATTATGTAGATCTAAATACAAATAATTAAATGGATTAGACTTACATCTATATATTATATACTTGTATGATGACCACCCAAGCAAAGGGAAGTTAAACCTTTTTGGTCATCCTTGCACACACAGACAGCTGCATACTGTGTGCATATTAACATGCCAGAAATATGCATGTTTGCAATGACACTCCTTCAAAATTAAACTACTTGCAGTAGCAGCATTCAGCCGAATTGCACATGGATTAGGACATTTCCAGGAGAGTCGTACTTTTTCCCAAGCTAGTGGTAGAAGAGACATGCTTTTGTTTTCTTTTCTCCAGACTACACGTGGACCTTATAACAGTCTTCAAAGGACACCTCTTTATACCCTAGCTGCGTAATTCATACCTGCTGAAGTAATGCTTTGAAGGACAAAGAGCGCAGTCTCATTGTTAGCATTTCTCCAGACTTCCCAAACATGAATCCCTGGGGGAGCAAAGAGTAATATTTTCTCATCTGGTGCAGTAACTCTGTTAATAAATCTGCACAACAAAAGCAATTACACCAAAAAGCATCCTACAACCCCCTGTGAATATACATTCATCTAGGAAAAGCATCCTTCACGTTCCTGGAACATAAAACTCTGTTTTCCCACAGAAAGAGAGCAACATGTCAAGGAAGGCAGGAGCTTCATTGTAATACCTTATTCCTATGCCCCAACAGCACTACAAGATAAATCAACCTAATCCAGTCATTGGCCTCCCTACTCTTGACTACGACCAGAGACATTCTCTCACAGAAGTCATACCATGGATTTTATGATACGGACATCAATGGGCACAAAGTATTTCCTGAAATCTGTAAAGGAGTCGTAAGAGGACAGCAAATGGAGTTTACTTGATGGTATGGAAAGCACTGCCTGGTATGGAAGGAGTCTATTTTATACTTACTTTGGCAAGAACCTATAGACTGTCAGTGAGAAATGTCAGTATTAACTTTGACTTTTAAGGGCAGATCCTCAACTTTGATTTCAATCATGCTGAGTTCACATTGCCTTCAGTGGCTTATTTAAACCAACAGCAAATACAGACATATACCTTTAAGTAAACATAACCATAAACCCCACATATCTCAGAGAGAACTGGCACTTCTGTATATTTTTTAAGCTCTGATTGGCTTTTTGCTTCTCAGACTGCATTGACATGAGTTATATCTGCAGCCTCATGGGGGATTAAGAACTTTTAACATTTCGGTGTAGTGACACTTACTTGGATTATGTATGCTGCTAAGATAATCACTCCAAGTAAAAGAAACATCAAAGAAAGGACCAAAGTATTTTTACTCCTCTTTATTGGATCTCTTTCTTGAAAAGCCTATGCAAGAAAAATAAAAACAAACCACAAAAATGAGTACATAGACGAGTGTCAGTTACATAAACCAGCCTTCATCTCAAGAAGCTTGTCTACTTTCATTTCTCTTAGCAAGTATTCTGGATCTCGAAATAAGTTTGCAGTCAACTTTCTGTTTAAGGACCAGGACAAAGTCCAGATTTCCATTTAACCTACATCACACTCCATCAATGTTCCTCCTCTCCTGTGCTAGTCAGATGCAGTTCCACCACGCTGTGCCTCTAGAGGAACCCTTTAACATTTTGCAATGGATTCATTTATACAAGTTAAGCCCATCCAGAGACTTACAGAGGAAGAACTGGCTGAGTGGTTGAGCATCAGGGAAGCTCAGGATTGCAACATCCATTTGCCAAAAAAACAAAAAAAAACCAAACAAACCCCAAATCTGAAACACCCTAAACCCCCCCCCAAAACCTGAAAAAACAACAGCCAAAAAACTTACCCCAATGATTTTTCCAAATATAACAGCAAATGCAGGATGGACCCCACCTATGACAGCAGCAGCAATCACTCCCAGCAGTACATAGAGCCACTCAGGTTTGTTCAGAGCCAGGATTTTTAAGTAAGGCACATCAGGGAGATTTTCTTCCTAAAAGAAGAAAAGAATCAGTAAAAAACTTCAGGTTTTCCTTGGAAAGTTGCAGAACATAAAATTCCCCAGAAAGTGGGTGCTCATTAGGTTTTGAGCAGTGAACTGTCTTGGGAAGCAGCTGAAAGCCCTCTTTGTGCACTCAGACCAAGCAAACATGCTGGAGATCTGCTGCTTTGCTGTTTCATATCCTAGAATGTCAATTGCACTGTAAAAATTTGGAGGCAAAAAACTTAACAGAAGGCTAAGTCGTGAGGGGAGAAGGGTCAGGATAGTTAATTGAAAGTCAAATAGGACTGGTCATCATGAATGGCAACTAGCACTGCAATCATTATAAAGAACTAAAAGTTTCACTGTTCAGAGCACAGAGATCCCTCCAGTTCAGTGGGCTGGCAGTGGTACAATTGGGTAGAGAGGTCATTTTTCTTTTTTGCAAACTATAGCCTATGCATCATTACCAAAAGCATGAAAGAGGCATATGTAAGAGTCAGCCTGTATTTGCTTTGAAAGTACAAAAAATGTCCTGTCCTGCTTTACAAATTTATTCAAGTGCCTATGCCTCCACAGGGGGAATTCTGGAAAAGCAAAAAGCGAAAACATCAGAAAGGAGACAAAATATTAGTCAGGATTACAAGCAAGTTGCTCTTGCTTCCTGGTTATTTTATCTCGTATTTCAGATGCTGAATGAGGGTGGCTAACCCTCAACTATAAAAGTGGGCTGATCTTTTTGAAATAATTACAACTGCTGGATGCTTGACTTCTTAATTTTATCTGAATGTGATAAATATTGAAGTCTTGAGCATACACACCCACTACTTCCTCTGAGGTCTTAAGCAGTATTAATACAGAGCCAAAAAGTATCTTTTGAGGTTGCATAACTTTTTATATGATAATAGGAATGTATCCAGCTCCTTCGTTCTACTTGAAATATGTATTAGCTGGAAGCTATATTTTAGTGACAAGGAATATGTATAGATAAAGATCATACTAAAGCTTCCATAAATATTTTAAATAATCAGATGATGTATTACAGATGAGATCTTAACTTCCATAGGTTTAAAAGAATTCATGGTTTTACTTTGGAATTTAGATTTTATTTCTTCACTTCAAGAGTCCTGAAATCAGGTCAAAAAACTAAAAAAACCTCCAAACCCACCAAAATACAGCAAACAACTCTTCCAATGCATTTCATGAAAAAAAAAAAATAGCTATAGTTTGAGTAACACAAAATAGAAAAAAATCAAAATCAAGTTTATTGAGCTGCTTACCGTAAGTCTGATCCAGAATCTATTAGAAATCAGCTCTTATTGATGCCATGAGCATCTTTTACTCAACTTTGACAAAACAAAGTTCTGTTTCTAAAACCTGAATTTCCTGTATGTCTTTTATTTATATATGACATTTGTCAACTAAACTGCTTATCTGGAAAAAACCCTCTAGAACTGGAGCATATACTAAGACAGAGAGAATAACGGATCTTTTATTTAAAATGTTGTTCAAAATATTAGAGTTTTGATTCTTTTTTAAAGTTTGACATAAATGTACTATGATACTCCAAAGCGCCTTGAATTTTGGTATGTACACCCCAGGGATAGCATTATTCACCAATATTTGCAACTGTGTGTACCAGGAAGCAAAGAATCCTGCAAATGAAATCTCACAACTAGTTTTAATTAGATAGAACTGAAACATCAATAATAGTGAAATAACACAGTTAATTGTATGAAGCGTGACAAATCAATAGCACAAGTTTTTTCCAGTTCCACACCAACTCAGCAGTGTTAAAAGGAAGATTTTTGGTAAGACACAAGTGCTTGTCCCCAGATTCCTAGGACAAATACTCAGTCTGGTGTGTACTGACTGTAATAGCACCAGAGTGAAGGTTACATGGCAGCCAGCTATTTAAAAGTAGTCAAAGTTATGTGCTTTTTGGTTTTGTTGGTTTTTAGTTTTTTGTTTATGTTATCATTAAAATTCTAAACTGAAATTCTAATACCAACCTCCAGCTCCTTTTTTTCCTTCCTTTTTCCAAAGGACTTCTTAGATGTGCTCTTATATCTGCTGGATCTTCTTCGAATGCTGCCTCTGCCAGAGATCACAGATTCTTCAAAGTGATCTTGAAGAGTCAGGTCTTCCATAAGATTTATATTTTCCTCATATTCTTCAGCCTCTCCTTCACTATCTTCTGATGTGCCATCATCTTGAACATCATAGCTACAACCCTAGTGAGAATTCAGGATGTGCAATTATAAGGCATTTTGAGCAGAAAAAAGGAAAAGTAAATTTTTTTTGCTCATGAATACTGCTGTTTTAATTGTGTGTTGCCTATAGGATACATTATTTCAGTCTGCAAGAGTAGACTATTCGATCCTGATTTTTTTGTTCCTCTTTTCCTTTAACAGTCTATGGAATCCATCTGGAATCTAACACCTCTGTGGTTAAGTACATAATTATGTAGTCTGTGCCTTCAACTCACTTATGTTTTTGACATATTGGGTTATGTAAGTGTGAAACACTTATTGGTAAAACCCCCAAGAATTGCAATTCTCTGCCTGGGCCCAGACTGGAGCGACTGAGCAGCCGCCAGCTGGACAACGTGCAGGAAGTAGAGAGAGGTAATGGCTCCACCTACCATCATTTGACAGCTTTGTGAAATGGAGAAAGAAAATAAATAAATTTGCCCTTACCTGCTGCATCACAAGAGAATAGTAGACTCCCTTCTGCAACATGAGTTCACTGTGTGTTCCTTGTTCAACCACGACGCCTTTCTCAAAACCAGCAATAGTGTCAGCAGTCCTGATGGTAGACAGTCTGTGAGCAATCACAATGGTGGTACGTCCAGCCCGAGCCTTACAGAAATACAAAAAAAAAAATAAAAAAAATCAATGTACAAATGCGCAAGAAAACAGCACAGAACTAAAACAAAGTTATTTTCGTGATTTGTAATATAAAATAAAAATCAAAGTTTCAATAATAATTTTCTTTTCTAAAAGTGAAGAATTTTTCTTCCTGGTTTCATGTCCCTTGTTTAACAGTCTAAGGACACCTTCATTTGACTAATTTAGGTAGAGAAAGCCACATTAATCTTTTTAGACAGGCAATACAGGTATTAAAGACTATAAGGTTATTTGACTTTTTATGAAACTTGAACTGTTTGAGTTAAAGTGCTCATAAAGTGTTTCCATGTGTATGTAAGGATGAGGGGGAAAATTCTGTAAGAATAGTTAGATCTTTCTGAAAATAAAGCTAAGATAGCAAGTATATAAGGAATGGATATTTTCTTTATATACTGCCCATGCATATTTTTGGAAGTACAACAACAGCATGATTTCTGACAAGGCTTAGCAGCAAAGTGCAGAGGAGTGGAGCACAACTGGGGTCAGAAATGGGTTTGAGCTACTCCATAAAGCACTTTCCCAGTCTTTTGAAATAAGCTAATTTGACAATAACCCTGTTGGGATTTGGCAGAAAGAGCTGCTGAAGTCCCAGTCAGGAGGTTACATGTTCCACCCCTCTCCAGCTCCCTCCTGCAGACCAGTGGCACACACAGTCCTCATGCAGCAAAGTAGCACGTGCCAGGTTGCAACTGCTGTAGAGGTCAGCTTCCCTCATCCCTGATGCCTGGAGCAGATGGTGGCATGGAGGCAGGAGGAGAAATCCAAGGGGACCTCATGCAACAAGCATGCTCTGTGGTCCAGGGGCCTGCTGGAAGTTACTTGCTACATCATATGGGCACAGGAACAGAGGCATGAAGAAGATGAAGGCAGCTGTAGTGGATGAATGCTTCCACAGATATTTGAATTCTTCCCCTATGCCTGCCATCAAGTTGTCATGGATTTGATGCAAGTCACTGAAAGCCTGTCACAAGAGGTCTGCAGTGCAGTTTTCATGCCTGTGCCCTAATGCCTAGAGCCTTCACCACTGCAGCCGGGAGCTGTGATCAGAACAAGCAAAATGCTTTAAAAGATTCAGAGTTATCTGAAAAAGAGCAGACTACAAACAGGTGTACATGACCGCCCAGAAAGAGTGAGCACTCATGAGGTTAATATCTCTGCTCTTCAGCTGTAAAAATAATGAACAATATTAGCATCATTTTTTCCACTTGGGGATGTTGAAATCTGGAAATTCCATTTGGGGACTACACTGATGGATATCAAAAAGCTGTGAAAAGATAATTAAGTTATAAAGCACGGTTCATTTTGGTGTATTCTGGGAACATGCTGAAGGATGAGGAATTCTATACAGAACAGTCCACTTAATTAAATGACCTCCCTCTTTGTTATGCATTAAATGAAGCAATGAGCTTCTAAAAAAAGTAAGTATTTGATCATGAAATTAAAAAGCATGCAGAAGAAAGCTAAATTATGTCTGAAGCATCAATCATTTTAGTGTTAAATTCTGCAGCAATTATATCACAAATATAAAAATTATATATAATTTTTGCATCTATATGTTACCTCAATATTAATATCAGTAGAATCATATGAATATAACAAACAGCTGCATTTTACTTCAGATTTAAATTGACTGGCAATGAAGATGGCAAATTCTGTATTTCCCTTGAGCCATACTAGTAATTTGTATCTGTCTGCATAACTATTGTAATGAAAAGCAGGATTTTTCACTTAGTTTTTAAAAGTACATTAAAATAAATATTAACAAAAGAAAAAACACTAGAGCCCAATTGTGAAGTTCTTTTTCAGTCAAACCCTTTAGGTTGCACTACATGTTGTTGGAAACTGCTGATGAAAGAGGGCTGTGAGGAAGGTATTGTGTGCTTATCAGAGACATGGGTACAAGCTCTGACAGCTCTCTCTGTCTCTCAGCAGCACCCACCCTAGAGCTGTGGGGCTTATAAAAGAGGTGTGGGGCAGAGACTCAAGTATTTGTAACTGGCTCTGCTTTTGTCCTGTGGTTTGCACTGTCTCTGAAAAGAAAGAAAATGGCTAAATCCCAAGTGCTGTGTGAGAATTATGAAGTAACTATTCAATGAAGAACAAATACTAGGAATATCATATATAAATTCCTATATATCTACCTGAAAAAGGCTGTTCAGTGCTCATACCTTGCCTTGATAAGATGCCATCAATATTTGAGCAGCAAATGAACAACTATTATTTGAGAAAGAGAGGGGAGGTCCACAGTCAGTTCCACATGTCTAAGTGTCTTTGTAATTAGTAATAATGCAAAGCCAAAAATCCTAAAAAGCAAACATGATTTCCATGTAAATTTTTGATAGTTCAAACTCCCTGTTAAAACACTGAAATTGATTGTCCATCCAAATTTTATTTTCCAGTGTCCTCAGTTCCAGTGGAAACCTGCACTGAAAATCAAACATTGATTTTTCTTAAGTGCTCTTGCACCTTTTCATGGTAGCTGGTAGTTTCAGTAACGAGTCCTACCTTATCAAGAGCTGCTTGTACTATGGATTCACTCTGAGTATCTAACGCAGACGTAGCTTCATCCAGAAGAAGAATCTTGGGATTTCTGGCTAGGGCACGAGCAATAGCTATTCGCTGCTTCTGTCCTCCACTCAGCTGAGCCCCTCTTTCCCCTACCATGGTGTTAAATTTCTGAGAAAGGAGAGAACAAAACAGAAGTTGTGGGACATCTCAAATGAAATCCTCACTCCTCTGTGCAATGTAAATACTCAGCTTCTAGACAGGAGGCAGCTTGATCCATGTGACTTGAGCATCGGCAGAGCAAACACGGAACTATATCCATCCAGCTAGCCCTTAGCCAAACCCTCCTACCCCCACTGCACACTTAGGTGCCTAATTTTAAACTTATGGTTCTTTAAAAACACGATCTTTCTTGCTCACTCAGAGAGTGCTCCAAACCCTGGGCTTTCTCCGGGTGAGCCTGTAAAAGACATCTCTGTATTTACTGAGAACTGCCTACCTTTCCAAAAGGGTTGGAATGATAGGGACAAACCAGGACCTATAAAGTTGCCTCCTGAACCTGAGACATCCCACTTGGAGCCATTGCTTGGTTCTTACTGACTGTGTCACTTACTCTAAAGTGGTAAGTCTCAAAGTCCAGTCACTCCACTAATTTGCTATTGAACGTACAGACAGCTTCTGACAAAGGATTTTGGATTTCTGGATCTTCTCTTTAAAAGCCCAACTCTTCCCATGCCGCATGAGATGATTAAGGATGGCAATATAGCTGAGAAGCTCTCTTTCTCCTCAGTTAAGGCATCGACATTTTTTCCCAGACTTCAGCAGAAGTCCTTTGAGAGCAACCAAAGGTACAATATCTAGTTGAAAAACTCCCTAAACTGAAAGCTGCTGGAGGTTATAAGAGTATTTTGAGAAGCTGTAGTGTATCACAAATTTCCATGCTGTCCTTCTCAGAAACAGGACACCAGCCTAAATGGACCTTCCATTCTTACACTCAAAATAAGTTAAGGAACTTACATCAGGCAGCCTAGATATAAAGTCAAAAGCATTGGCTTCCTTGGCTGCTCGCTCAATTTCAGCATCAGAAATGTCTTCTCTGCCATAGCGAATGTTCTCAGCTATTGTGGTTGCAAACAAAACAGGCTCCTGACTCACAATTCCAATATTTTCCCGTAGCCACTTTACATTAAGTGTCCGAATATCCCGACCATCTAAGGTAATCTAAGAGGAAAAGAGTATGTCAAAGAAGTTGAGGAAATGCATTGTGTTCGTAATTAAGCAACTAATTACCATTACTTGACTTGAGTATCAGCTACAAGGTCAAGAAAGAAAAAAATGTTTTCTTTAGTAGAAAACTATGTTGGGGGAGAAGCTACAACTGCAGTTTTTCTATCCACTGTACAAGCCGGGAAATGGTGAGTAGCACCATAAACAGAGAAGATATTGGGGTTTTTGGTGGGGTTTTTTTGGTTGTTGTGGTGTGTTTGTTTTTGTTTGTTTGTTTGTCTGTTTGTTTTCGTTTTTGGTTTTTTTTTTAGTTTGTTTTTTGGTCTGTTTGTTTTCCCCCAATAACCACCCTATCTGAGCTGGCTTAAGACTTTTCCAGCTTCTTTGCGTGCTTTTTACCCGGTTCTCATGCCCCTGTGTCAGTTTGTTGTCCTCACAGTTGTGGCTACAAAATCGCCTCTGTGGCTGTGCTTTACATCAGACCAAAGAAATAATCCAAGCTGACTAAAAAGAAAGGGAAAGTTATTTTTATCCTAGATAATTTGCAACGTGGTCATATGAACATTGGCACAGCAAAATCAGGCATGGGGGCAGGAATCAACAGCCACAGAAACACTAAAAAACATGTCGATAACAGTCACCCCGGTACATTATGCACTGATAGTTCAATGTTTAATATTTAAAATGTTTACCTACTTTTAACTAGCAGTAGCAACTAAGTAGCATTCCTCAAATATCTAGAATAAAAACTACATTTTCCTTAAAAATATATGGTTTATTTTCCCCCTTTTCTTTTTCTTTGGAAATTTCTTATGACAAGTATTTACCATTTACTGACTGGATTTAGTGTTTAGTGATAAAACATACATACAAAGCGTAACGATGGAAACTTTTGCTGTGGGTTAGCAGATAGAGGAAAAAAAACTAGCCAAGCAAACAACCATTTAAAATAGGAAAATTCTCTCCAGGTTTTAGTTAACATGCAATGAAAAGGAAGCAAAATACAGCAGGACATTGTTAGATTATGCTTTGCTTAAAAAAGCGTACAGAATTTTAGAAGTCAACTGTTGATAAAAATTATTTTAAATTCAGATCTTGCATATATTAAAAGACTTGTGGTATTTGCTGTTTTGTGGCATAGTACTGTAAGAATGAGCAGAATAACAAAGTTAAGTCAGCAGGAGAAGATATTTCATTTGAAATTTAAATTGTGGAAATACAGATGATGCAGACATATGCTCTAATTCAGCACAAATAGAAAACGAGGTTCAGTCAATACGGGAAACTCATGCTTGTCCTAATAGCTCTCAGTTTTCACAGTTCACATACAGACACTCACTTCTCCCTGGTCAGGATCATAGAATCTCTGCAGCAACTGAACAGTAGTGCTTTTTCCACAGCCACTGGAGCCAACTAAAGCAATGGTCTTCCCAGTTTGAACTTTCAAGTTTAGACCTTTGAGGATCTGGGAATAAACAAACAAACAAACAAACACACACATCTTAGTTTGACAAGTTTGGTTAGAGAACAGTTTGTCAAGATAACTTCAGTAATAATCAAGGCAGTAGTAAGGGCCACAGTCTAAAGGTATGGCAATATTAATAAGTTAATTGTACCTGAGAATATTTTGAAGCACTGATAGGAAAAAGGCTGCATCTATGCTTGTGAAGCATATTAGCCTTTGAAACAGGATGGATAAATGCAATCTGTCTTTTGGGAACCCTGCATCCTTCTGGCTACCAAACCAAGCCTGTGAATTATTTGAGAAGATTGATAACTGGAACAGGTCAAGTTCATGCCAAGAAACATTTTAAGAGTTGCCTTGCATAGACCATTGCATTCCAGTTCCTGGGAAAATTCCCCAGCACACTCAAATCAACAAATACAGAGTTAGCCACAATACTCTAAACTTGATAGCTCATTTTCTCCAGTTTGTGTGATCTGATAGCAGGCTTGGGATCTTCCATTTTCCTGCTGTCCTTCATTTTCCAGTGCTTAGCCAATGGCATGACACTCAATTACGAATATCACAGAAAAATATTTTTCAGGTGCTAAACATGATGGCTGAGAAACAAACTTGACTTCTTCTATTTTTAGAATATAAATGGCTGTTTTGACCAGATAACTGCTGGAAAGCCCTTAGTAAATCTCATTCCTTGTTGTTAACAGACTCAGCAACCTGGGGAGTAGTTACAGATTAATGGTATCTTTGTTGCTATTTTCACATTAAGGAACATTTTACCTCAAAAGATGTCCATGTCATATACAAATAATGCTCTGTAGCTGCCAAAATATTTGGCTGCTATGGGAACTCCTCTTGTTTATACCAGGTTGATTTATAATTTTGCCTACAAATGTTTTTGCAATGAGAGATTAAAACAGTTGCAATACTCCTCTCCTTTCCCTGTCTTACATCCGGCAGGGTTTGTATCTCCAAGAAGCTGATATCCTGGTGCCTGCATTATCAAGAAAGAACCATATTCTGGATACCATAGTATCTCCAGATGCAAATAGTCACAACCACATAATAGGCTATTTCTAACTCATCAGACAAGGTGCTGCCAAGATTAAAACTAGCAACATCTAGACTCCTTAGATCTCTTTGATTTAGTTTAATGTGGACAGGGGAGATTATACTGTATTGCATCAATTGCTTGAGAGATTGTGGATAACTTCTACACACCTTTGCTGATTCCTTTTGGATATATTAAATAACATTGATGCTCTTAGTATGGAGAGCTGCTGACTTAGATCAGAAATATGAAGTGACAGAGCAGAGTCCTCATATTCTTCCTAAAAGTGCTGTTCAGGCTGATAAGCTATGTTATGGGTCTGCATGCCAAATGAGAGGGAAGTAAGAATTCTTCCCAAACCTAAGAGGGACAGAAGATGCATTGCACCAACTCACAGTTAGGGAAGGAAGGCCAGCTCTGAGTCTGCCCTTCAGCTACCCCAGTGTCCTGGAAACACACTTGATACCCAATGGGACAGACCTCAGATGACTGAGGTAGGAAGAGCCATCTAAAGAAATAGCCACAGTGATATGAAGCTCCCCATTCTCACCACTAAATCAGCACATCGAGCTTTTAATTGTTGGCATTTGAAAGCTCTATTCCAATCTCTTTCTTCATCAAGTAAGCAATAACAGCAGCAAATTCCTTTTTCTTTTATCTTTATCAAGGTGTTCAAAAGATTATAAACTGTTGAATATGGCAAAGAGGTCATAATAATTGTGTCACCAAAAAAGTAATTAATCACCATGAGATGATGTACATAGGTCACTAAAGGAAATTGAACTAGCAAAGAACAGGGACAACAGTTTATCGAACAGCAATTTTAACATCTGCCCAATATAACTTTTGACTTCCAAATGTATATTTAGGATGATACGTTTCAATCCATTTGATAACATATTGTTGTAAAGCCTACCTCACAGATAATTTTTCACATGGGATATCATAGCAACTCTGAATGACCAAGGAACTGGAAAAAGCCACTTCCTGACTTAACTGTTTAAAGTCTGGAAGTTTTAATTCTGAAAAATCTTTTTTGATTTATCAGAGTGCTTGTTCACAGAAATTCAGACTAGGAGCAATACATATTCTTAAATTTTCCTGCAGAAGAGAATTGTGAACAGATAGACAGTGACAGTAGATCTAGAGCTTTGTGCACTATTGAGGGAAAAATAATGTCCACCCCCCAAACAGGAACGCATTTGGCATTCTAGAACAACAAGATTAGACAAAAATATGGACACAGGCTGAAGAATTTCAGTACAGCAATCTAAACCAAACACTTACTTTAACATCAGGTCTCGCTGGGTAACTGAAATGGATGTTTCTGAATTCAATTTCTCCTATGAGCTTGTCTGGTTTGTAGCCTTCCTTAGAACTGCTGTCTATGAGCCGTTTCTGGAAAGAGGTTTTTAAAATCTATTACTGTTATGTCACTTTTGGAACTTTTATTTCTGCTAGCTACATTGTTGTTTACTCTCTCAGCTGCTGGTTTACACTGCAGTATACCATTGCAGAGTTGCTGCATTTTACTCGGTAGACGCTGATTACAGGGGAACATGTAACTGTGAATTCTACTTTGACAAATATAGAAGATTTTCAAATGCAACGAAGTCCACAGCAGAAAATCTGTAATTGCAGAACTTAACTGCATTATCTTGCAGCCAAAAAATGGCCCTCAGTAATCTGTACAGGAAGATTTTATACTCACATCAAGAAGAATGGTGTAGCCATTTCTCCATGAACTTTTTAGTCCTACTTGCTTAAAATATTTTACATATACAGACATGCAATTGCTGCATAGCACAGCAAGACCAAGATAATGTGGAAAACTTTTTCATACCAACATCAGCATCACAGATTATTAATATTGTAACTTTCAATAGCAATACTAATCCCCTCCTCACCAACTCCTTCCACAATAAACCACAGCTCAGCTGCAATTCTGCACATATGCATTTTTTAAAAATTAGTACAGTGCCTTACCATTTTCCCTCTGGATCTGAAAGTCTAACACTAGAGAAAGACCTCAACCATATATCTCAGATAAACATGTTAGGTTTCCCAGCATTCATTACAACAAATAAAGAGGTTGTGTCCTTCATATGGGTTTCTGTGGTAGGTATCTATCAAGTTTATGGTTTGGGGGCTTTAGAGTGCTTTCGTTATATCTCAAGAGGAAAAAAAAAAGAGAGGAAGGGGAAATTAAGTGTGGTTGAAAGCCTTGTATTCTACTTACTTAGATATTTACCTTATTGATAATCTTATATACTTCATAGGCAGCTCCACGTGCCTTAGCCACACTCTCCAGGTTGGGAGCTGCCTGGCCCAGGGAGAAAGCTCCAACAAGCACAGAGAAGAACACCTGTGGAGATGGAGTGAGCATCACACTTAATGTTTACAAAGTCACCAGTGCCCACATGTGCACTCAAAAGACTTTGGCATTTAACCCTTTTCAGGAAAATTAAATACAAAAGTGAAAGGTGTATTTCACAGTTGCTTGTATGTACACTCCATTCTCCTGGAGTAAATTATAACTACTGACACATGCCTTTGCGGCATGAATTACTTTTCTTTTTGATGTTCTTGCATTTTCTATTATGTACAAATATCTTTCTCTGTTGTTTTTCAGATGTTCCCAAAGTTAAGAGGTTCACAAAATTTAATCCAGATTTTCTTAACACACAATTCACTTAACATGCTGTGAGGAGAGTGTGAAAGTTAAGCATGTAGCCAAACTTGTGATGATAATAAGATAGCTAAATATCCCCAAACCATTACCGACATAAGACATATTAGTAAGGTACTGTTAAAAACAACAACAAAATGCACAGAAGACATTGTGGCTAAATGAGATCTTGAGAACTTCTCCGTATGCATTTAGCACACCAGTGAGATCCATTTCATCTCTGTTTAGGTAGAAATTTGTTGGCAATCCAGATTACTTTTCTTCACTTCTTAACCACCAGCTCTTGGTTGTTCATCCTACTCTACAAATAGAGTCCAAGACAAGTGAGAAAAGTGCAGATACTTTTGCCTCTGCATTGATTAGAGTGGGAATACAAGGTGTCCTGTTCAAGCTTGTTATATCAAAAGCTAGGCAAGATGAATAGCTTCCAGTTCTTTTATACCAAGTGAGTCTGTAACAGTTAATTTAGCAAGCACGAGGCAGCAAATAGATACACCACTTGTATAACTATTTTCCTGAAGTTACAGAACATTTTTCAAAGCTGCATTGATGTACTTACAATTAAGAGACGGCCAATGTCATAATTTTCATCCTCAGCAATGAGCTTGGTTCCATACCAAAATGCAAGTGCATAGGACCCGAAGATAACAAATTGTGAAACACCTAGACATGTGTTGGTGGTAATGGATTTTTTCACTCCAACACGTTTAGCCGTCTCTAAGTTAGCATTGTATCTGAAAGAGGATAAGGAAAAATTTGACAGGTACTACATGCCATTCTGATTGCTATATCCCAGTGCCCTTTTCTTAATTAAAAAGATTTATATAATAAAACTAAAATCTGAAAGAGAATACAGATTATTTTTTTTGACAGAGGACTATTAGGGATATAATTCATCTGAATAAATCTACTCTGATGTATGCTGACAACATTGGCATACTTATGTGTTATGGAAGACAGATTAAGAAAACAACTGAGCATCATGACTTTGTTATCATGATGGAAGACACAATACCTGTCTTGAACCACTTGTTTCCATTAATCCTGAAAGAAGACCTTGGGAAGGTTTTATCAGTGTTATCTACCAGAGGTAAAGGTTTAGTCTTCCATGTTTTAAAAAGGCAAAATAAAAATAAACCCCCCCAACAACCCCAGGCACTGGGGAAGGAGGTAAATGAGAGAGAGCTCCCTCTGATACCAGAGTTGTTCTCTTACTAGCCATTCTGGGAAGCCAAGCATCTTTCCCTTAGGTTAGTTTACTGATTAATATGGCAAAACAGGAAACAAGCGGACACAGAAGATCACATAAAGACTGACAAGTTCAGTGTGAAAATGATTTCTTCTAAGGATACTTCAAATTCGTTAATCTATAGTTTACAGCTAGTAGTTTTCATTTACTCAAGCTCATTATAGAAAGTGTAACCTAGGAATTGTGTATTTTTTTACTTCCAGTGACATGCTCAGCAGCTTGCACTTTTCCCCCCAATATGTATTTTCTATACAACATATTCCCGTACGAGGAAGACATGCAATTCAGTCAGCTGAGAAGCAATCTTTAAAAACTGCATTAATTTTGTTCATGTAAGTTTCTCACATGTCATCAATGCTGCATTTTTTAGCCAAATACATTTAAATGTTCTGACTTGGTTGTGCTCTTCAAACCAAGCCCTGCCTTTGAGTCAGCAGCATCATAGGTCTTCCAGGGAAGTGGGTACTGGGTTTAAGCAGTGTGACAAATATATGTGATCACTCAGCTACAGAGGAAAAGCCAAGCCACTGCCACAAAGAGAAGATGACTGAAGGTCCCTTGCAAGAGTAAGCATTTGTGGTCAGTAGAGGCACTGTGCAGCAAAAGGATGCTTTTCTATCTCTGAGACCAGCATTCAAGAGTAGCATAGGAGTCACAAACCCATATCTGCAAAATGCCCTAGTCAGTCCCTGATAGGAGTTTGTCTGTTCCTAGTAGAGCCACCATGGGGTTTTTCGATTTGGTGGGGGTATTCTGTTTGCTTTTTTGTTTGTTTGTTTTTACATTAAATGGAGGTAGAGCTTTGGAAGAGGCTGACCAGTCAACCACATAAAGGAAAGGCCTTACTGTCATGCAGTTACTCAGGTATCAGCTATTTTGTCTTTAGACAAAGTAGTCTGGAGCAGCTCCTACCATTAGATTTTCAGACACTGGTAATTGCAGAAGATGGAGAGGAGGGGGGACAACTAATCTAGATCATCTTAAGGGGTTTTTTTGCCTTTACTGTGTAAGCAGGAAGTGTTGCATCTTAAGGACAATGTCCAGTAAGCAGGATACAGACCTCAGTCCTTAGAAGCAGACAAATAAAGGCTGTAGGACACTGAGCTAGGGCTGACATCACTTTAGAAATTTTGCACGTGACCAAGGCAAACATAAGAGTTGAAAAAGACACAAGAGTTTCATGGATCAGGTCTTCTGGGTTGCCTTTCCCAGCTGCATGGAATCAATGATGCCCTTTACTTGTATACTGAATGTTACTGTTTACACTTGTTGAGTTGTCTGAGATATATGTGAATAAGTTCATGGCCAGCCACAACCACCTCACCTTTTACATACGACTAGGGCCAACACTGATCAACTACAAGTGGTATTTGCAAATCCTGAAAGCAGTAAAAATCAAAAATGTGATTTTACTTAAGGTTGTTATCCAGTGTAGTTTAAATATAAGTTCAAATATCAGAACAGAGCACCCGTGCTCTATAAGATAAGGAAGTGATCATCGCTCTGCTATGTCAGACTACTAGGTGAAGACAGCCCTTCCACCACTTTCACATTAAGTTCAACTCCAGATCTCAATCAGAGGAGAAATTTTAATCTATGCTGCAATGATAGCACAAAGTAGCCTGTATTCACTGACTAGGTCTACTTACACATCTTTGTTTTCAGGTCATTTGTCCATTGACAGAAAGATAAAATTATTCTAAGGAGAATGTTATCCCTTTGCCTCTCCCAAAAAAATAAAAAAAATCCACCCAAATAAACCAAATCCTCACAACCCAAATTTCTTTTCCATATTTTAAATATACTTATTAGTTAAAATCTTACTTTTCTAATGCCTTCTGCTGTCCATTGAAAGCCACAACAGTCCTGATTGCTGTCAAAATTTCTTCTGCCACAGCTCCTGCTTTGGCGTAAGCAGACAGCTCTTTAGCAGTAAGGGACGCCAGGAGCTGGAAAGTTGAAAACCAGATGTTATTGCAGCCTACTGAAAGGATGAGATTTTAGGAAAGTGGAGGTCAACTCCTCTGAGTTCCCCCCAAATCCAGCTCAATGTATCATCGTATCCTCATTACAGTCACATGCTACACAAGCATCAGATGAGCTTCATGACTGATCCACTTTTCTCCCAAGCTGAGGACAGCCAGCCTATGAGCTCCACTAGGATGTGTGTAGGAGCAGAGAGGTGTGCCATAGCTGCTCTGGAGCATGCCAGCAGACATTGAAGTAAGCAAGTCAATCGCTTTACAGCCTCTAACATTCTTCTTCCTAGTTTATTTGAAATGCTTTAATGAGGAAAATAAAACCCCACAGAATCATATATAAGCCACTTAAGAATATGAGCCATACCCATTAATGTGGCTACAACAGCACAAAATGAGAAAATGTTTTCCTATCTGGAAGGGAACCCTCTCCAGATATTTTGCTGATTTATATCACTACAGTTTACAGCAGCTCTACATATGTCCTAGGATCTACTCTGTACGCAGCATGCAACTTGGTAAATCATTTGCAAGAGACATGGTACATGTAAGTGCAGATTGAAAGAACTTGAAAAGTATGTGTTGGGAGGGAAAAGTGAGGGTCACAGGCACGTGCTTGGGCTTCCCAAATGCTCTGCATGAGGAAATCCCTGTGCAAGGAAGATTCTCTGATGCACATTACCCTCCTGTAACATGGCATAAGGACAGAATATGCAGGCAGAAGGAACACAACTTACAAGTATGTGCTTGGGAACGCAGAGAAAGGCTACGAAAAGAACAGAAATCATAAAGTAAATGTGGGGCCAACCTCACAACTTAGAAACCATACTACTTTTCTTCCATTCTCTCCCCCTTTCCTGTGCATAAGAGTTGTAATGTTTTTCTAGTATTTGTTTATTAATCCACACACACTTACAGTTGACCAAATTCCTGCTGATGCAGCAAGAAGAGGGCTGACTGCCAAAATCACCAGTGTGAGCTTCCACCCATAGATGAATCCTATAATAATCCCTGCCAGAAATGTGCTAAAAAACTGTAAAAATATACTGATCTTGTCTCCGATGCCTTCGTGGATGGTGTTGATGTCCCTTTAAATAATAATAAAAAAAGATTTGTTAGCTTGGAATGCCTTTCATTGTGACTCCCTCCCCCTCCTTTTCATGCTGTGTGGCCTAATGTCAGAAGCTTTGCCATTTCCTAACTGGCACAGTCAAATTTCTAACCACAGCTACTGGATTGTACCATCAGGCTCTTCTGTAGCCAAAACACAGCAGAAACCTCCTATTTTAAAGGGCTCATTTACTGTATTTTCATTTACTGTACTTTTCATCATTCTCTGCTGTTTCTATGCCCTGTCACCAGGTCATTCGTGGAACAGTACAAGTAAACAGTCAAGGAGCCTCCTCATCCAACATGACCATCTCCAAACGATTTCTTCTGTTCAGCTCTGATGCATTTCATGTTCTGAGTTTTAGCTGCAGACTCAGATGAAGGGTTACGTCCATTCCATCAGAAAATTATTTGGAATAACCTCCATTTTTCATAATTTCCATTTTCTCTTTCCAGAACATAGAAATACTAGAGTTGAGAGTGGTTTCATTTATGCTTCTCTTACACCTTTCAGGGCACAGCTCTGTCCAAAGCTACTTTAAAATCCAGAAAAAAAAAAATTAAAAAAATTCTGCTCACGCATACAGTCCCATAGCATCTTGAGGCTTACAGTACTTATCCCTAAGTCTATTTAAGTTTATGGAAAAGCTCCAAAGACTAACTGCTTGGACAGAGTTCAGCCTGAGATCTGACTGGATGCAAGTACAAGCTCATTTTCATTCAGTAAAATGTCAGAGCTTTCAGTGTTTGTAAACTAGGTGGAGGCAGCAGAGGTGTTTATCTAGCACTGACTGCCACATACTTCATGGACATCAGAAAGCCAGTGTCAGGCATTTCACAGCAAAAACTCTTTCAATGCATGTATCACAGATACTTCACAAATGAAGCTGAAAAGGATATTTATTTTTTTTTCTTAATTCTCTGCAGGCTATTCCACAGAGATAAATGGCAGTTTTGTTTTAAATGTCATACTTGGGGGTGTGTGTATATGTGTAAAAAAAGAGCAGAGCCCTCACTCTGTCAGTCTGGTGTTCAGCATTCCTATCTGGGTAGTATCAAACCAAGCCATCTCCTGATGGAGCACCGCAAAAAAGAACTTCTGCCGGATCCTTGCTGTTTGCCTTGTAGCAGCAACCAAAAACGTCCATACTTGGATGGTGCTCAGGATCAACACAGCAAAGCCAATTCCCACGTAATAGTAAGCAAACCTGGAATAAGGGAACAAAAGCCCATGTGACCCCACCGTATCTTGCGAGACAAGTTAGAACACAAAGCAACAACTAGTCTTGATTTATCATAGTAAATTAAATACTGAAGCCTGTGATGCATTATTGGGAAATCTTTTTGAGAAGGCAAACATTTGGCTTCTGCTCAAAGAGATAACACAGTAAAAGAAAATTCTCCGATACTCTACTAACAGGAAAACTACAAAGACTCTTACTTTGTCATGTCACCTTCTATATCCACACCTGGAACTGATGGGCAGCTGGAACTGTTTACTGAAGTATCTGTTAAGGGGAAATAAAAATTAGTAATGTTTGTGAAAGTGCTGTATGTAGAAGATAATTCATGGCAATATGGGGTCATCAGTTTGGGAATGTTTTGTATTTTGCAAGTGGGGTCTTGCAAAATACAAAATGATTTGGCAAATACACATTTACTTTTAAACAATTAATGTCTGATAACTGATGATACAGAAGTTGGTCATGGTCCTTACTATCTCACCAAAGTTGAAGTTCATTAATAAAGAGCACATCCAATGCTTTGGTTCTGTCCTGGCCTTGTCATTAAAGATTGATTAAAATGACTGGATTATTTCCAGCAGGATGAATGTTTCTCATTATATATTTGTTAGATATGTACAAGTGCATAGTCCGGGGGAAAAAAAGCATCTTAGCCCCTGTAGCAAAACATAACCAATATGTAGAGAATTCAAATTTTAACTTTTTACCGTTTGATTCCACACCACTTAGCACAAAGCTGTTCGTCATCTCTCCAAAGATAATGATCATAAGCGGCATTCCAGTACCATTTGCAGCAGCTGCGATCAAACCAACTATCATCAAAAGGACATCCATCCAGTCAGCATAGCAAAACTACGTGAGCATTAAAAAAAAGAGAAAAAAAAAAAAGGAGTGACCTTGCACCTGACTGTATTTGCTACAGTACAGCACATCTACAGAACAGCTTTGTTTCTACCAACATGTTCTAAAGTAACAACATTCCAACTGAAAGTAAACTCAGAATATAAGAATCTTGTAGTAGTTGAACACATCTTTAAACCAGTACTGAGTAAGACTGCTAAGAGAACATTGGCAGAACATGGATTCTCCATTTAGAAAAAACTACATGTTTGTAGGTGATGATGACCTTTGTACAATACCATTTTGTGTTCCATTAAGTTACATATTTACTAAGATAATGCCTTTACAATGTAAACAAGAGTGAGTTATTGACCAGAACTTGACTTACATCTACCAGTAGAAAATTATTTTAGCAGAGATAGGTTGTATCTTCAGGTTCATCTATCCTTGAATATTTGTTTGGTTTAAAGAAGGATGTGAATTTAAACTGCCGTAGCTATCCTAGGATGTGGTTAATCTGAAATCAGAGCATTTTATTCCTGACTGTCCTAACCCTCTTAACAAGGTGTAAATGGACATGGAATAAACCAGAAAAGAATAAAACTTCTCTGTTCCAGAATAAGCAAGTCCACATATAAGAGCTATTTGGGAATAGCTGCTGTATAGAAAACTGGCACAAAACTATATTACTGGTTTTCAGAGAGCAGATCCCTCAGATGTCAGACACAGGATAAACCATTTGTAACTAGAGGTAAGGCAAGGGCCTGTGCAGTCCTAGAACAGCCTCAGTAGGGGTGAGCTTCATCTTCCAACAGCACTAAGGTTGAACTGCTGTCAGTGCCACCAATCCACCAAGAGGGCAATCTGACATAACAGTGCAAAACTTAAAGAGATTTAGAATCAGTAGGTCTCAGGCTTTTTCTCAGGTTTTTCATTGCCTATTAATTGCACTTCATAAGCAACTCACAATGACAAATAAAGAAAACAAAAGAAAGAATAAAACAGGCCATTAAACTGGACACTAACCAATTCAAAAATGCCAACCATTCGTTTTTCTGACTTCTCATTTTCTTTCCTAGAGGAAAAGACAAAAGACTAATTAAGGTAAGGGTTTGGGGTTTTTTTTTGTTGTTTTTGTTTTGTTTTGTAAAGATGTACTAAACTCTTCTTTTCCTTCCCCTGCCCCTATAAAACAAGTTTACCAGTAGCCAACGTCTTGAGTTCAAATAATACCTACTTTTTTTTCTTGAGCTTTAATTTGTCACTTTGTTCAAGATGTTCTTCATGTTGGAAAGAGGGATTGTCATATCCCTTGCTTGCAGATTCTGTTAAATAAAAAGCAGACTTTTTTTAACTTAATAATCTAACTATTGCACCGATTTCCTGCATCTTTCACTGCTGAGACTTTTGCATTTAAAGAGTTTTCCTCATGTCCTTGAAAGAGCCTGGTGAATTTTTCTTGAAACTTCCTTTCCATTCAGTTCTTCTTTACTCCAGAAAAAAGCTTCCACTTCCATTTCCAAGGGCGAAACAAAAGAAAGAGTTAATTAATTCTTCAAATGCTTACAGAAGTGAATGCAAATGAGAAGAAGCCCTGATGAAATGAGTAGATTTGCTTAGAGTGAAGGTTATAACCGCACAGAAGAGATGGAAGTTAACTGAAGAAACATGTCTTTGCCTGTAATAATCATCATTTTTTCTTTCTATTGCAGTAGTTGCCACATGTTCAACTTTCTTTGTGCTAGAGGCTTCAGAAACCAACACAAAAGACGAGTCCTACCCTGGGAATCTTATAATTATAAATTCATATAAAATGAGATGTAATAAGTATCTAAAGAAACTGATGAGCAACCACAGTAGGGAACCAGCTGTAAAATGTGGGGAAAAAACGGGCTCCTCACAGCAGCAACTCCCTATTTAATTTACATTTACCTTAACTTTAAGTGCTGATTCACTATGAATAGAATTTTCTACACAGTGTTTTTAATGTCAGTCAGTCTATAATGACTGGTTTAGACAACCATTTAAAAACAACAATGTGCTTCCATCTTAGCTTACCTCAGTAGCATTTTCATGACAAGGCTAGGACCCTCCTAAATAGTTTTAATCACATAAATGACTTCTGTTGAACTTGATGGAATGATTCATGCAGAAACACTTTACAGGTGTGGCTTTAGTTCAGTGGAAACTCATTGCGTTATCTCCTACAAAACCACTATAACATTAAGGAAAGCTTTATAGTGCACCTTTGGATTCAAAGCTGTGGATTATATTCCTCAAACACGCTTACAGTGTTCATGCCTACCAGCATCAGAGATGTCCTTTTCTGTGGAATTTACAAAATGGTCCTTCATTGTTCTTCTTTGTTGTATCCTTACGAGGAAGTTGCATTAATCAAAACCTGCATTTAAAAATCAACATTTAGAATTAGTAAATATTTAAAGAGTTCACATCTGTGGATTTTTCCATGACTCATTACATCTTGGTCTCAACTTTATTCTATTTAAATACAACAACTAAAAAGAAAATAAAATATGTAACAGCATGACAAAATAACTACTATTAATGAGATATTAGGAACAGTGCACACTTTTACAAGGGGACCTAGCTCGGTAGCCTGCTTTAGTAGTCTTTTTTGCTAAATCCTGAGGTCATACAGAAATTATTGTGGATGATCTATTACAGAATCGAGGATTTCCTTCATTACTTTATGTTTGATTAGAACTAACTGAGCAGTCATAATATGATCATTATTACAATGATAAAGACATGCACTCATTATGCCATATGGTACTAGGAGAGATTTAGAGGCAGCAAATGACTGGTGCTGCAAGTCTCTCTAGACTTTTCTTCTTCATCTATCAAATATGCTGGTTAAAAAACACCAAACAACAACAAAAACCTCCAAAACCCCAAATGAAAAGCCACACATGAATTTGATGAAGGCTAAAGTAACAACGATAACAAAATGCCTAATCGACTTCGGATTTTAAAAATAAATAAATAAATAAATACACCCTTTTTGTTCGACTGCTGACTGTGCTTTCTCTCTCACGTTATTTCAGCTTACCTTCACAGCCCACGCTGCGCACACACGGGTGGGCTGGTGGCTGCGGCCACCGACGGCTGCTCCGGTCCCTGGAGGGCGGGTGTTATAGCGGCGGCACCGCCCTCCCTCCTCCGACTCGGGTTTCAGGTGAAGGTCGGCGCCGCAGCAGGGCTGAGCCCCTAAGAAGATGCCGCCCGGCGGCTCCCGCCCTCCGCAGGTCCCTCGGAAAGCGGCCGCCGCCTCCAGCCCCGCACACCGCGCACGGCGAGCAGCTTGGCCCCCTTACTGGGGCATCGCTTCCACCCTGAGTCCCGCAGAATGGTTAATGTTAGAAGAGACCACTGGAATTCAGCCAGTCCAACCTCCCTGCTCAAGCAGTCTCCTAGAGCACGTTACTCAGTTTTGATCCATCCAGATGGATTTTGAATATCTCCACGGAAGGAGACTCCACAACCTCTCTGGGCAACCTGTTCCAGTGCTTGATTACCCACACAGTAAAGAAGTTCTTCCTCATGTTCAAGTGGAATTTCCTGTGCATCAGTTTCTGCCCATTTCTTCATGTCCTGTTGCTTGGCACCACTGAGAAGAGCCTGGCTCCATCCTCTTGCACCCTCTTGTCAGATACTTAGAGACATTGATAAGATCCACTCTTGGTCATCTCTTCTCCAGGTTAAACATGCTCAACTTCCTTAGCCCTTCCTTGTAAGTGAGATGCTCCAATACCCTCATCATCTTCATAGCCTTATGCTGGACCCACTCCAGGAGCTCCATGTCTCTCTTGTACTTAGAAGCACAGAACCAGAGACAGAGTCTCATCATTACTTGAACTGAAAGAATTTTAGTTTAGAAAACTCTGCCGCTAAGCAGAGGTGAGGGATTATTTGAATGAGTCTCTTGTCCAAGGAAACATTCAGGCTTGCAAAAGCCATCTGCAAGGTCATTCCTCATTTGCAGAATTGCATCACTACGTCTGGTGAATTTCAACTAAGAATAAAGATATGCTGGTGAATTTGAACTGAGAAAAGTTATTAAAAGCAGTGTTTTCATTTTTCTACATCTTAATGGCATGAAGAGCAAAGCCAGCTAAATTCATTATTGTTTTCAGAGAAGCTAAGCAACATATTTTGCTCATTTAGTTCCCACCTCTTCCCCACGATTTGTGTGGGGGTTTATTTTATCAAAAGTAAGACTGTTTCTTGTTTAGGTTTAGCTCAGAAGGTGATTGGCTTTTTTTTTCTTTCTTCTGAAGAAATCAGGTAACCAAACTAGATTTTCTGCACAATCCTAAAAATAACAGTTCTTCATCTTCCCCACTGGCACATGTTATAGTCTATATAACTTGCTTCCAGTATATAATTTGCTTCCAGTAATGCCTTTAATGTTTATGAAAAATAAACTCCTAGTTGTTTTTCCATCCACTCACATTATCCCAGAGCCGAGTCCCAAATAATTTAACTAGTTACTCAGTTGAAGTAACTAGTTCAAGTAACAAGTTCAGGACTCAGCCTAACTTAAACTTCCCTTTTCTGCCTTCTGCACAGGATTGAGAATATGTTTTATACATTGGTTATGATGCCCTGGAAGAACCTCAGAAGAAAAGGCATTATTAGATATCATTGTCTCCTGCCCATCGGGACCCTACGTGTTCACTTAGAGTCAAACTCCTACATGTCAGACCTATGACTTTTTTAGCGCTTTCTTATCTCATTAGCATTACCAGAGGTTATATTACTGACTTATATTACATATATATATATATATATATATATATGTAATTTTTATTGGTCTGGAGAAAAGGATGCTTAAGGGAGCTCTTACTGCTCTTTACAACTATGTGAAAGGAGGTTGTAGCCAGGTGAGGGTCAGTCTCTTCTCCTGAGTAACAAGTGATAGCATGAAAGGAAGTGGCCTCAAGTTGCTGTAGAAGAGGTTTAGTCTGGATGTTATGAAAAATTTCTTCACCACAGGCATTGCCAAGCATCGGAACGGGCTGCCCAGGGAAGTTGTTATGTCACCATCCCTGAAGACATTTAAAAGGCATTAAGCTGTGGCACTTAGGGATGTGGTTTAGTGGTGGACTTGAGAGTGCTGGGTTGAACTCGATCTTAGATTTTTTCACACTTAAATGGTTCTATGATTCTATGACTCAGTGTTAAGCCTGCATTATGCACATACACATCTGTGTTCTCTGTTCCAAAAAATTACTGAAAGGCTTTGACTTCTGCTGCTGAGAAGAATATGAATTTACAGATTTTTAAAAGAGACAGAACAGCTAAAGTAGTTCATTGTCCCAGCCCCAAATTTCAGAACTGTATGCAGTATTTCTTTCCCCAAAGGCAACAGTTTTATTTCTTGTTCATCTCAAGAAGAGTGAGAATATCTCCTCACAACATCTGTTTTTTGTTAAAAAAGGCAATAAACTGTTATTTTCAAAATAAACTATCTTTGCATTTAAAATATATAAGACATAGGGACATCTCACCAAGAAAGCAAATGCCTGTTGTGGGACTGAGAGCACACAGATAGCGAAGTAGAGGAATATAGGTAGCATGAACCAAAAAAGTCACTTAGACCACTTTTCAGAACTGCTAGATGCACATCTCAGCATCACTGGCACTTAGGGAGTGATTTGTACCTTCAAAACAGATACTTTCAGTTTTCAAAGCTTCATTGTCAGTTATTCACACACAGTAACTATGAAGTGTCAATTACAATTCAGATCCATTGCTCTGCACACCACAGGCCTGATAGGAAAGAGCCTCAGGGTTCCCCTGCATAGAAAAGTCTGTCCAAAAAAGGTTTGTGAGATGAGCAGAGCTGTGATCATACAGAAAAGAGAATCGTGAGGTGTTGAGAAGAAATTTGTTGTCTTTTCTTTCTCTCCTCTCTCCATTTCTTCCTTTGGAAGTGATGCTCTACTCCATACAAGTTAATGAGTATCTTCAAAGGGGAAAAAATCCCACCCAAACTATAAACGAACAGACTAAAATAGAAAACAAACAAAAGGAGGAGTAAGAAACTGTCTCCTGGAAAAAGATTCCTCATCAAAACTACTGAGGAATGTGGTCTTGTAGTCTAATTACGGCTAACTATTCTGTGCTTCAGTACAAAATAAATTAGCATATTTTGACATTTTTGCAGAAGCAAAAATTCTGGATTAAAACACATGTGCTAAACAGAGAAGACTTCCATCAATAAAAGAAGTTGGAGAAACAACATAAAAAATTGTAGTTTACAATAATGCCCTTGTAATTTTGGGAGGAACACCTTATAATAAAATATCATAATGCAATTTGGAGAGAAAACACTATTTCTCCTTTTATCAAAAATATTTCTGTATCTTTGGAAAATACTAGCTGCATCTGAAAAGTATCCTATTCCAAACAACCAATGTACCCCCATGCCTCCATGTGTTTGGTTCCTGTGTCCAAAAGTGGTCACGGACAGGAAGAGCAAAATTAAACACAGTCATGTATCATTAATTAACACCAGCCATAACTGACGGTATTAAAAAACACATCTGCTTTAAAGACGTATTAACCATAAGCACAACATTATTAAAAAAAAATCAAATAAAACACCCTACCATAAAAATCCCGTAATGCAAGCTAGAAATGAGAACTCATTTCCCAAGAAAAGCATTAACCCTAAAAAGAATGCAATACATGGTATGCAAAACCAGTAGACACCCAACTTTACTGGAATGTTTCCTCAGAATAAGAGTCAAATACAAAGCAGGTGTAGTGTGTATTTCACAGGTGTTATAGCTCCTTACTGTTTTTTGACTTCTGCAACAGACCAGAAGAGCATCAGAAAGACACCTAGCCTGCACCTGGAAGCCACACGTGGGGAGTCAGGGCTAGTATTTGACCAGTTACCTTAATTACAGCTGATCACCTACATGTTTTATGCAGCTGGGTTGTAATTCACAGGGTGGAGCTGCTATAAAAGACCTTTTTCTTTCTGTATTGCACTTTAGTCTTAGCTGCTTTGTGATTTTTGCATATGTGTTCTACCTGCATATGTGACTCAACCTGAAAAGACTTGGCACAATCACATTAATATAAGAAAGCCCCATTTTCTTATTTATTTGTCAGAAATCAGCCCAAAAATGGAAAACTGGTATTTTAGGTTTGGGAGGCTACTCACCATTAGCTGTTACCAAATCCCATACACCTATAACAGTTCAAGGACATACACATTGTACTCAAGCTCAACAGTACTGTTATTAATAATCACTAGTAGTAGCTGTAGTCATGGCACAGTACTTGAAGTTAGTAGATTGGGTCATATTTTGGTGGACACAAAACGAACAGCTCATTAAAGGGGGCAGCTAACTAAAATGTTGTAATTCTCAAAACCAAACCAATGTTTTAGGTATGCTACTATGACATTGGCAACTGCAGAGCTATTGGGAATTTGGTGAAGTGAATGAAGAAGGTCTGGGTAGAAGTAAGTGCTGGAAGAATTAAAAATAAGGTAAAGAAATATGTCCCAATACTTGAACTTTCTGAGAAAGACTGAGCTATGTTGTCCAGAAGTCCTAATGCTGTTGCAAAATCCTTATTTGTGGTTTCCAAGAAATTAGGGAGCAGGAACACATATGATTCTTTTAACTAAACTGTGACATCAAAGATAGCTATTTAATTATAACAGTTTCTAACCAGAACAACACGTAAAACTATTTTAGCCTCAAAAAATTTTTGCAAGGTCTCTGTAGTACACATTTGCTCAAAGTACAAAAACAAAGAAATGCATCTTATTCTGTCCTATGAAGTTTGTGGGTCTGTTTTAGGAGACACTTAAGTGATAAGTGTGAAGAATTTGGCAGAATTACTATAATCCTTCTTGCCTTTAAAAAAAAGATCAAGTCAATGAGGCTCATTTTTTTTATGAAAGAGAGCTAATACCATTTTTTTTTCCCCTCTTCTAAGTAATAGAGTGGTAGAAGTAGTAAGATCATAGTAAGCACAGAAGGCAGTCATTCTGCTGAACACTTTGTGTACCCTAAGCAGGAAAATTGATAAAGCCCTATAGGGATAATTTAGAGGACTGGATGCCATTATACACCTGTTTCAGAGAGACATTGAGAAAGAAGGGAAAAGGGTGGAGGAA